AGTCCAGTTGATGTGGATGTCCTTGTCTACTGGCAACTGAGCACTGGCAGCCTCTGGTAGCACGCGGAAAGTGTGCGCGCCAAAGTAGTCACGCTGGGCTTGTAGCAAGTTGGCAGGTAATCTCTTAGATCTGTAACCGTCGTAGAAGGCAAGTGCGGTAGAGAAGGCCGGAGTAGGAACACCGTAGGTGGTCGCCAAGCCGAGGGTTCTCCGCCAGCCCTGCTGAGCCTTGGTAACAGCGTCAGAGAAGAACTTGTTGAACAACAAGTTCTCCAAGTAAGGGTTTTCTCTGTATGCCCTGGTGATCTCAGCAAGGAAGACAGATCTGATGATACAGCCACCTCTCCACATCAAAGCAATTGCAGGGAAGTTTAGCTCCCAGCCAAAGTTCTTACCTGCCTCTCTCATTAGCATGAAGCCCTGGGCATAGGACATGATCTTGGAAGCGTACAAAGCCTGCTCCAAGTCGTCGACAAACTGCTTTCTGTCCTTGACGGCATCCTTAGGGATTTCAGGGCCGCTCAACAACTCGGAAGCACGCACTCTCTCATCCTTGAGCGAGGATAGGCACCGAGAGAAGACGGCCTCGCCGATCAAAGTCACTGGCATGCCCAAGTCCAAAGCGTTGATGGCAGTCCACTTACCAGTACCCTTTTGGCCAGCCGAGTCCAGGATCTTCTCGACTAGTGGCGTTCCATCTATGTCATCGTAGAGCAGGATGTCTCTTGTGATCTCAACCAAGAAGGAATCCAGGATACCATTGTTCCACTCAGCGAAGACCTGGCCAATCTCTTTGTCTGTGAAGCCACCCAATCTCTTCATAATGTCATACGCCTCACAGATCAATTGCATGTCACCATACTCAATACCGTTGTGCACCATCTTCACGTAATGACCAGCGCCAGCAGGACCAACCCAGTCACAGCATGGTTCGCCGTCCGACTTGGCCGAAATCGACTGGAAGATCTCCTTGATGTGCGGCCACGCCTCAGGGGCACCACCAGGCATCAACGAAGGGCCGTAACGGGCACCTTCCTCACCACCGGACACACCAGAGCCCACGAAGTGGATTCCCTTCTGCTTCAGCTCTTCGTAGCGTCTGTTGCTGTCAGGGAAGTGGGAGTTACCACCGTCAATGATGATGTCGCCCTGCTCCATGTGTGGAAGCAATTGCTCGATGAACGCATCCACGGCAGAACCGGCCTTGACCAGCAGAATCACCCGTCTTGGTCTCTTTAGGTTCGCGCACAGCTCCTCCACAGAATGCGCGCCAATGATGGACTTGTCTTTCGCCTCGTTCTCCAGGAACCGGTCCACCTTCGAAACTGTCCTGTTGTAAGCCACGACCGTGTACCCGTGGTCAGCGGCGTTTAGGATCAGGTTCTGGCCCATGACGGCCAAGCCGATCAAGCCAATATCTCCTCTGCGCATTAGTTAGTATGTTGCTCGTCAGTCACGTGATGCATCGATCCGCTGCTCGGCCGCGCAAGCTGCTGTGTCGCGGACCCATAGGCCCGCGGCTATTCAGCTACCTGCAATGCCTGCTGTATGCGCGCCTGCACTCGCTGCCCCTTTCTGGCCGCGACGGTGCCACATCATCGTCTGAAAACGTCATCCCCTACATACCTTGGTTCGGACATCGTTTATCTTTCTGTTTTAGAGCGGCTGAATGGAATTTAGCTCACAAACGCAACCTTCTCTTAGCCTTCAACGCCTGAGATTATACAAGAAGCTATGTGGTCCATTCTTATTATAACTGGAGCAAACGTCTCGCGCCACCCAGAAAAATTATTAATACAAAGCACACCAAACAAACAATCCCCCGAATCATGAAAACGAGCTTACTACTCACTCGGCATCGACTGACAAAATGATGACTAATAAGAGAGACCAACAGGCATGCTCGAGAATTATGTATGTAGAAGTAGCTTACGTAGTAAAGAGCAGTGACGGCAACGCACGCAGCAATTTGTCACGTGGGCATCAGCCCGAAGTAGGATGTAGGATGGTGAGGCCGCTGAGGCGCTTGTTCCTAGTAGGAGATGGCTCGCACGAGCTGGTACGGAAAGGACGCGGCACGAATTCATAGGAGTCCGCGACAGTCAGGTGATTTTTCGGAGGGCGACCGGTGCGGGCGCTGGGAGATGCGCGGGCAGCCCTGGCGCAGCTGGCGGCGAAGTCATCATCCAGAAAGAAGCGGTGGAGGTTGGCGTCGAAGAGCAGACAGTCGAGGGGTGCGCGGACGCGGGCGCGCACGAAGTGGTGGGATATGGGGAACGGCTGGGGGGAGGGCTCCTGCTCGAAAAGAACCGCGAGGCGCTCCGGGCCCAGCCACGAAAAGTGAGCCGCGAGGGCGGCGATGCATTGGAGGTTGGATGAGGGGCACAGGTCCAGCCAGTCCAGACCGCCCTCCTTGAAGCTGCCAATGAGCGTGAACGGCACGACGCTGTCTGGGAGCTCCAGCAGCCACGCGCGCAGCAGTTGGATGATATTCGGGCCGAGGGTCCACTTCTCCAGCACTTTGTCCATAATTGCGGCGTGATCGCAGTCTAAGAGATACTCGTTTAGACAGTCGCGCTTCATGTTGGAGATGCCGACGAGGTCCAATGGCGCCGCCCACTCCTTGGCAACGATATCCGGATCCAGCGATTGAGCCTTCTCCAGCAGCTTCTGGAGGACCACGGGCTGCTCGTTGTCCAGCACCGGCATATCCTGCAATGGCGTGCCGAAAAGCCACGGCTGGGAGACTGGCGTGCCCTGTAGGGTGTACATCTCGAAGTGCAGTCCCGCATGCGGTGTATAGAAGCCAATTGTGCCGTGATTTTTAGAATACACTTCATACCATGCCTCGTCTGCGTCGACCGTGGATGCCTTCCCGTCGATATTCCATTCCTGTTGGAAGTTGGCGACTATAGACTTATCCACCTCCACCATCGTCTGGAACTTCTGTTTGCTTAGCTTCGCAAATTTCTTCATGAAGTAGAACAGGTCGACTTCTAGCTTCAGCTTCTCGTTTTCCCATAGAAACCATTGCTTCACGAATTGCTCATTCAGCTGCGATATCTCCAGGGCAGCATATGTAGTGTCTTCCTCGACTGCTCCTCCCGAGCTGACGCGTTTCCAGATGTCTTGTAGGATCTTACCGCTGGAACTAGCCGGGCTCATGCTGCCTATCGGCGTGGGCGCGTCGGGCACCCAGCAGTAGAAGCCCTGGTGCGTGAACTTGTACCCTGGACGGTGCAGCACATCATTGTACGACCTCAGCACGCCAAAATCCAACAGCTGTTGTCCGACATTTTCCAGGTTGAACAGAGAGGTGTCCATTTTCGCGTCTAGTCTTTTCAGCGAGTGGTATAGGTCTCCGCCGCTGAAGTACTCATTAGGCAGGCCCGGGATCACCCACTTGCGCTTGGTGATGGGCACATCGTTTTTCAGCCGAGAGAGGTATTCCTCCCACTCGGCCTCGCTGCTAAATTTCAGCGACGTACCCAGGCTAGTGGGGAATTGCCGCTCAACTACCGTCTCCATCGACTGCAGGTCCTCCTCGTCCTCCGGATCGAGAGTCGCAATCGCGGCTGCCTTCTTTTTGATCTGACGGTGCATGCTGCGCAGCGCGTCCATCTGCCTCTTAACCTTCCCATGGTCCAGTTTTAGCGCAGACTCAACGTCCGTCTGGAACTCGCGGTACTGGAACAGCAGATTTTTGATGGGGTCCTCGACCGCTGCCAGGGACGTCGTCCGCAGTTTCTCCGTCAAGCGTTCCAGCTGCCGTGTCTGGTTGCGGTACACCCGCGCCACCATCTCAGTGCCCTTCCCGTAGCTCTTCACCTTCGTATATCCCTCTAATGCATCTCCCGAGCTCACTTTTGCGACCTGTTTGGCCGCATACGTCCAAGTTTCCTGGAATTTATCGTACAGATCAGCGAACTGCACTAGTTCACTGATGTCGCTTTGTATATTGTGCAAAAGCCAGTCGATGCCCGTCAGGTAGTCCTCGGACCAGAACGTGCTTGTGAGGTCGATCCGTCGGTTCATTTTAGGCCCTTCCACCCTACTCTCAAGAAATGTTAGACAAGATGAATCCATATACTTGTATTTAAAAAGCTGAAAAAGGCCCTCGCGCGGCGCTCGGGGAGTCAACGCCACGGCACATGAAACACATGGTTGCGACCGCCGTGACAAGCAGCTATCAGCGGCTTATATAGATATTCTTGGGTATCACTTACGTATCAATTACATCGCAAGACCATCATTGTGACGACTACCTCGTATTCCAAAAACACGTGCGACACTGTGAAAGTATGAACGTACCGAGTCGATGAAGACCCTTAGCAAACTGCTGGCCTTCCGGGTGACGGCATCGCGTGCGTCGTCATCCTTTTTTCCAATGGCTGTAGGCAGCACGTTGTCGCCCGCCGAGAGGGAGACGAAGAGAGCAAAGGGGATAAACCACACGCAAAGCGCAAAGAAGGAGGTGACCTCGGCTAGAGAGGTACGGCGCGGGGCACGGTAGCTGGGGTCCATGCGGAAACGTACCGGAACATCATTGTTGTTAAAGTGACGCAGCCATAGGTAATGGTTCAGCGCGACAAGCACACAGCTGGCCACAAACGTGGGACTAGAGAGCGAAATGAAGGGGAACTTGCGTAGATTCTGCGCGTAAACGCCATGTGAGGCAATTGAAAAGCACGTGAGGAAGAATGGAAAGCCATCAAATACCAGGAGCAGCGCGTACGTGGCAATCACCGCGTAGATGGTGCGAGTCAGGAAGCGCCGAGTAGGTTCTGAGTATTCCTCCACGAGCTCGCTGACGTAGTATAGGCCTGCCGCGATGGAAAGGGTCAGGAATAGGAAACCAAATATTGTGCCCACGACTGCAAGCAGCTGGAGGAACATGGCGGGGTATTGTGAGGCTTGGCCGCGGGTTTGTCGATCACAGCTTCGCTGATCGTCTTAGCGTGGCCACCAAAAAAATGTACCCCTCTGCTCCGCAAAAAATATTCCCCTTACCAGGATTGAACTAGTGACCTTCGCATTACAAGTGCGACGCTCTACCACTAAGCTAAAGGGGATATGCAGAGACGCCGCAGGTGTGAGTCATTCATAGCGCGGTTCTTGTCGCCTGCGACGTTAAAAAAATAATGGTTGCGAGGAGATTCGAACTCCTGCATCTTACGATACCTGAGTGTTCAGCTGTGAACAGCTGTAAGCATACACTTGAATCAGGCGCCTTAGACCGCTCGGCCACACAACCTTATCTGCCAAATCATGACTTTAAGGTCGTTACGAGGGGCGATCGATCAGGTTATCTTGCAACCACATGATGCCAAGAAATGTAGATCTGGGTCATCGCCTGGGTCACAAGTACATAAACAAGTCTAATCTATATTGAGACCATATTGCAGACCATAATATTGAAATCTTATAAAACATATCTATACACTGCGCATACGCAGGCGTCACAGCGCCAGTTAAGGATTCAAGCTTCGGCCCAGCGCAACACGGAAATAGCACCGCTGACGACCACAATACTCACCGGTAAGGCTAGTATAACGTAACACCAGAACAACACACCAGCCATTTCGGCCTCAAAGAACTCATTCAACTGCGTGATTTGTGTAAGCTGGATGGCGGGCGGCGCGACAGTCAAAATAAACCCCACCACCAGGAAGATGGGATCATCCAAAATACTGACGTTGATAAACTTCACACAAACAGCGATCAACGGTAGTAGCAGTAACGAAGGGAAAATCATGCGCCCAACAATGGATGCGAACACAATTTTCTTGTAATTATGCGACTTGGGCGAAACGTCGTGGGACGGATACAAATTAGAGCCGAGAACAACCAAAATGAGGGGGATCGAGAGAGCACCAAGCTCGTTAATGGCTTCACTTAGGGTGTTGTTGATGAAGCCATCAGCATGGAATATTTCGTGCTGCAAAGGGTGTATCGAAGCCACGATCACCGACAGGAGCATAGAGTATAAAGGAGGGTTCATGAACCCGCGAACCCGGTTTACACCGTGCAGGACGGTCGTCTTGAGCCTGTCGATGGATGTTATAGATGGGGCAGAGGTACTGTTTTCGTCGAAGGCCCCAGGGCTGCGGATTGCAAGTTCGCTTTCAGCTTCAGCAAGAGTAACGGCGTCCTCGGATTGCGCCTCGAGAAGAGACTGCCTGGCCTCGTTGTCACGCTCACCGGACCACCGCATTAGCTTGTTATAGCCCCACGTCCATCTCAATACTTGCCCAATCTGCTGCCAGATAAGCAGGTATAAGATACCCCTGGATGCTATGCTGTCCTTGGTATCATTGGGAATCTGGTCCCACTCCAACCCGGGGAGGGTATATGCTAACGAGAGCGTGAGGGACACTGGAAGCGAATTGCTATTCCCGAAGATGGAGTTTGCAACCACAAAATTTGTTTCATCAACGTCGAGGTGAAGGATCTTTGCCAGAAATTTGCCAGAAATGAAAGAGATACCTGTAGAAATGGCATAAAATACAGGGATGATCCCTATCTCGAGGATTTTTGCAATGGACAAGGATTTAGCCAACTTGCTGAAGATCAAGCAGGGTGTGAAGACGTCCACATTCAACCTGGATATGATTTTTTGCCCCTCTTTGGGGAGGAGCCCCGAGTAGGCGCACCAGAAGCCTGCAAATGAGACTATGACAACTTCAAGCACACTTTGGAAAGTGATGTACGCTAGTCCCAGGAATGACAGCGCCTCCGTAATGACCATTGAACGTTACTAATGGGTCTCTTTTTCTTAACCTGGTTTTTGGAGCTTCTCTGATTATGATAGAACGGCTAACGAAGCTTACGACTTTTGTCCGGAATCCTATCCCACGTTTTATAAAGGGGTCCTCGCGATGCTTTCTTACTGGGTGGGACTACTAGCAAAATTAAATTTTGGTTCCTGTGTGAACCCACGAGGTCCTGATATGCGATTAATATGCTATCGCAGCAACGGTGACTTTATTGTGGTTATCTCGTGACTGTTTTGTGGTGTATCTAGTACGCACCTCCGTTTTTATCAGAAATGAAGCGGTGGCTCAATGGTAGAGCTTTCGACTCCAGTTAAATCCTGGATTTTCCGGAAATTGCAATCGAAGGGTTGCAGGTTCAATTCCTGTCCGTTTCATTTTTTTCGTCATCTCTTCCAGACGATAAAACACTGGCACATAAAATCCCTGAGCGATAGCCGTCCGTTCAGTCAAGTTGGACCTACCTACCAAACCACATTTACCGAATCGCTTCCAGATGATACACCGTCTCGCCGGAAATCTGAGACCGCTTACAAATGTCGTAAATTCGAAGGGCAGGTCGTTACTGCTAGGACAGAGCCGCAATTTTAGGGCATCGCCGCTACCGCAGACGTACAGGGCCTGGTCAGAACTAAGCAAGGAGGACAAGAAACAGTTTATCAGGAATTACATCGAGCTCTACAAACAGAAGCACCCATGCAGCAAGAGTAATGTCATGTACCGAGCGCTAGCCGGTGACATGGATGTACATGACGATGCTCCCTATGTCTTCGGAATTTTATACAATGAGATCAGGGCCGTGCAGCTGGGCTTGTCCCGTGACAATCAGAAAGGATCGGGGGGAGCTATGGGTGATCCAGACTTCGCGGCGCTGCTACACAAGTGACTTAGCGCGAGATATTGGATAGTATACACGATATGTAGCATCTATGCTGCGCAGAGCGCCCGTGGCATCCTCAGCCTAGAGCGCGCTCGAGGTTGTCATTGGACTCAATAGAATCCATCGTTGCCATATTCTTGAGAACGTCGGTTTTGCTGGACTCCACGAAAGAGCCGTCGCACATTATCAGCTCGTCCAAGATATTGTATGCGCGTGTGAAGTTGAAGATGATATCCAGCTCGCACACATTGCCGAAGTAGCGGTCCATAGTCTCGACAAACCGGTGTATAATCTCCAGAGTCAGCAGTTCGTTGTCCTCTTCCGGGCTGATCCCACACACGAAGAAAAGACTGGCGTACCGCTTGTATACCACCTTATGGTCCTGGTATTCAAGGATGTTGCACATCTTCGGCTTACGCGCGAGCACCGTGGCCGTCAGCTCGCGGATGATAAGCGCCTTCTCCTTCTGCTCGTAGGGGCGGTACCACCTGATCAGCCGTATCTTCCCCTGCCTCGAGAAAAGTAACAGGTACTTTAGTTTCGACATTAGGCCCAATCTATAACGCAGTCACGCTTCTTTCCGCAGCCGCCAGCCTGGTACCAACTGCCCTGTTCATGTAGCTACGAAAGTGGCCTTCCGCTCTAGCGAATGTTGCCGGTTATCCTACATCATTGGCCACGAATACCTTTAAGGACTCACAGCGCTCTACGTACTGACAGCAAACGGGCCTCAGTCCTCGTCCTCCGGCGGAGGGACCCATGGGGCCGGCTTGAAGTACTCCTGGTCGCGGAGGACCTGGGCCTTGAAGCGCTCCTGGTCGTCGCTGAACTCAAGAAGGTACTCCAGCTCCAGCTCGTGGCACTGTCTCCCCAATATAACGAGAGAATGCAGAGGCTCGCCGGCATCGTATTCGGCCAGCTCGCGGATCGAGCCGGACTTCATACTCTGCGTCGGAGCACCCAGGCGCGAGATGGCGACGCACGGCGTGTCCGGTGTGTACGCCTGCTGGCCGCGGTTCTCCTCGACCTCCAGCAACTGTTCGCAGCACTGCGAGATCGACATGTAGCGTGGTGGCTCGAAGATCAGGCGGCCTCGCGCCAGGTTCTCCGGGCTCTGCTCCTTGACCTTGATGTCCAGCAGCACCAGCGTGTGCAGCCCGATGCGCCGGTTCTCCAGCACCTTGTCGTACCACGAGTCTGGCCGCCAGCTGTCCGTGAAGAAAACCATCGAGATCGTCTGCCCGAAGTTGTACAGCTGCAGGCCGCACGACCCCACTGCGTTCATCACGGACGCATTGTGCACCACCTCCACCGCAATGCCCTGTTTCTTTGCCCGCAGCACCAGGTCCGTGTGCGTCGTGGCCCCGAACGGGTCGCCCACGACCAGGAACGCCACGTCCTCCTTGTCCGCGTCGCGCAGGATCTCCTCGCACCCGGACTCAACCATCTCCCGGTCTGCTAGCACCACCTCTTTCCCGTAGAAGCTCTCCAGCTCCTCCTTCGACGCCGTCATCAGGATCGACGTATAGTGCTCCAGGTACACCCGCGTGCAACGCTTCACGGCATTCAGCCCGCGCACGGTGATATCCTCATGCGACGACAGTCCCAGCCCTATCAGGAACAACATTGCTCAGTCTATGGTTAACACCTCAGCCGTTGCAGCTCATCTCATAGCTCGCGCAAGAAAATTTTTCGAATGCCACAGTGCAAAACTGGCCAAACGAGTAACAGCTATTGAGATCTGAAAGCCGCCGCCTAGTGCACGTAAAAGAAACCTTCGTAGAGGCTCTTCAGTTGTCTTCCCGTTCCTCTAGTCCTCATTTAATCGATATTAGTCGCAGGGGGTGCTGTCACAAACGCAGGACACCCATGCATCCGCACGTGGTCATCTGACATAGCGTCTAAGTAGTCCGACTATGGGGATGGTAACTGAATCAACAGTCGAACCGTTGCCACCAAATCCACGACAGCGCATAGATGAGTGAAAGGGAGCAGGAGCGGGCGATTGAGGAGGCGGACGAGCGGGCGCCCATTTTGGTGGAAGGGGTTGCAAGCGGTATTCCAGGGTACGGAACAGGGAGGTCATCGCAAGGAACACTGCCGGAACCGCCGTCCAGGCAGGTAAGCGTCACACAGAGGTTTGCGCTTTTTCTTTTGTTTGTTGTTCTTCTGCCGCTGAGCTATGTGTATACCACGATGCCGCCGCCTGACGTGCTCCAGAAATATGTGGCGGACATCACGGAGTTGGAGGTCCACAGGGTCGGCTTCCAGGGCTGGGCCGAGGCGCCTCCGGGGATGGGGGACGCCGCGCAGGGTGGCGGCGGGAAGTGGATGGCGTTCGGGGTGAATGTGTCTGTTGCTGTTGACTACGAGGCCGAGACGAACGTGTCGGTGACAGCGAACCAGCGGTCTCTTTTGC